ACAACAGAATTCATAACTAACGATATCAAAATATATAATAATTTTCTTTGCGAACCAAGATTTCTTATAAATTTTGTTTAAATTCAAATAAATATCTAACATATAACTCTTAATGGAATTTCTAAACTCCTTCAATTAATTTTTCTTAAATTCTTACCATTCTGAACTTAAAGTGAATCAATAGGCAATGTAGTATATTTACAACTGGGCGCACCTTCAACTGCGTTCAGTAAGCAATAAACATTAAAGCATTCATCTTTCAGACAAAAAAAGTGTTAACCAGACAGGCAGGCAGCCAATATTTAAATGCTTTGGCTTGAATTATTGTTTTATATGTAAAATATATTTTAAGTTATGCGTTTTAAAGGCATTTATACTTCACACATTCAATAATCTCTAATTTGTTTGGCTTTTAAAACTTTATCAGAAATTTGACAGCTTATATACGTATGTTTACTTAATTTGTTGTCATTGAACTTGTAACATAAATTTTATTAATAAATACTTATAACGTATATATTTAATTATTAATTGCCTTAAATTTTATTTCATAAAATTTATTTTTATGCGAATTCATACGTAATTAAATTAATTAAAAATATTTAAATATTTAAATTTTTTCAACTAACAATTTGTTTATAAACATTTTATAAATTTAAAATATCTATATCAAATAAATTTAAATAATAATTTTAAATAAATGCCTGCGGAGAATCCTAAAAATATGGTAACCTAACCACACATCAAATGCAGAACTTTTGCTCCAATCAAATCAGAAAGCTGTTGTAACCGAAATAAAATTGCGAAAATGGAATTGTATATGGCATACTATCCGACGACCAAATAAACACATTTCACGACAAGCTTTGACATGGAACCTACAAGGCAGCAGATGCCCTGGTCACCGACTTTTACTTGGAGAAGGACAATTAAAAGATAAAGCACAGAAGCGCACTACACATGGAACGATAAATGCAGAGAAGCACCTAACAGAATGCGGTTTAAGAGAATCGTTGCGGCCCTATGCCCCACTAGGGGAACGGATACTAAGCAGAATGATATCAAATATAAATAAATATTAAATAAAATATAAAATATTTTAAATATCAAATATTAAAAAAATTTAAAACTACTTTTAAATTTATTTTTTTTTTTTAAATAAAATTATTTTAATTAATATTTTCGATAATATTGATTCAAGCTAAATGAAATCTATATATATTTTTTAATGTACTCGTTTATCTAGACGTTAATTCATAATTCGTTCAATTCCTTCATCGCTTAATTTACCCCAATTATTAATATTTAAGATATTCAATAACTTTACTAATATTTAATATTTCCAAATAAAGCTGTAGTTTATAAGCTCGTTCTAATTTAAAAAAAAATCATTGTTAGTTATTTACAAATAAAGTGACAAAAAACTTGGAATGAGCATTGAAAATTTATGCAGTATTGACTACTTGTGGAAAAATACAATCAGTCATCGTTTCTAATTTGACAGGTACGAGTTTTAAACCTAGCACTTGCAGTCCAACAAATTATTTACGGACTATAAACTAATTAAATAAAAATTTGAATATCTCTTAAGATCACAGATGATGAGTACTTGGGAATAATCGAAACAGAGTGTACGATCAGCCAAATTTCAATAAATTAATCAAGAATTTATTTTGTTGTTTCTTTATTACTGCTCGAACCCTTCTAGTTTCTTTTCGTCATAACACTAAATTACAAGACATTAATTTTTATGTTAAATTTATTACTCTTACTTTAACATATTACTTTAACATATAATATCACATGTAAAAAATAATAAAAAATCCACAAATAACTTAAACCATTAAGTAGTAAGTAATAGTAATATGTATAGAGTTAATTCAAAAATCGATCCTTGAGGAAATTGTAAAAAATATGTACTTCTTGCAATAGCGTTAAGAAATGTGAAATACTGCTGTCAAAAAAACACTACTTCTAAAATACTATTAAAAATAAACAGATTAAAATGAAAGAAAATAAATATTTGGGTGAAAATCCTTACTTAACCCTTGCTAAAAAAATATAGCATTTGTTTCTGTTATTTCTCCTTATATCGAGAAAAATGTAAAGCATTAATTAATGATCCGTGTCAGATAAAGTAGTATATGAGTACTTCGGTAGAAAGTTTAAAATCTAAAACTTATACCTATTTATTAAAATCTCTGATAATGCAATTGTAAAAAATTAAAAAGCAGATGCGCTGATCCATAACAAACGGAAAAGCAAACTTTTATTTTTGCCATAATCACTTTAGTAATAAACGAATTTATAATATATAAAAAAAATAAATTAGTTTTCTTATTTATACAATATATTGAGTTCGAGATCAAAACTACTAATTATGTTTTCTTTTAATAACTAATTTGCAATACTTAAGAGCAATAAATTAAATAATCACCAGTGAAATTGCAATATATAAAAGCTTATTTCTTTTTTATTATGTTTTTTTAATACCGGAAAAATTTAAAACAAATAAATATTTTATTTTTATATTTATGTACTTAAGGTGCTTAATTATATAATACTATTTAAAAAATTATATAACTATTATTATAACTACAAATAAATATTTTATTTATATCTTTATGTACTTAAGATGCTAAATAATAAAATACTATTTAAAAAATTATATAACTATTAATATAACTATAACAATTGAAATCATTTATTATAAATATGGTTTCAGGCTATGTGTCACAACAGTCTAAGAAAATATTTTTTGAAGCCTTATACACATTGTTAGACTATTAAAAAATCTGACAACTGTTAGAATACTGGTTCAGCGTATATTCACATATGGTCAATGGTTAAATATTGGTTCTGTATCCCAGCTTCTGGTGATACAATGTGGGTTGATAATTCATTGCTTTCTCTATCAGTGATGATTACTTTGACCATTTCTATTTAAAAATAGAGATAACTATTGTTTGATTTAAAATTACATTAAAACCATAATTCTCTGCAAATGTGCATGGTACAATCTCAATCATAAGATAATAATAAGATAATGAGACACTTCCGAAGAGTAGAGAATTAGAGTAGATGCTATAAAAAGCTATGTTCATTAAAAGACTTAGAAATCAAAAAAGCTATGTTCATTAAAAGACTTAGAAATCAAAACCATAGTCAATAAAAGTCAATAATGAGGGAATAGAATGGGAATAAAATTGTTTATCGGCTAGCAGACAAACAAATTTTTTCTAAAATAATATCAAATGATAAAAATACAAACACAATTTTATAGAAAATACTTAGGACTTACGTTTGACTGAAGCTACACTCGACTAGAAAATATAAGATTCAAAAAAAATAGCTTGTAATAAAAGTCTGTATATTCTAAAACCATTAATACGAGGAAAGTTGCGTGTCGCTTGAGACTGTGGAATATTGTTTGACTTTGTGGATGTCCATACTAATTCAGAATTGCACTTTCTGAAATCAAATGCAATACCTTCTGCTCAAAATGTACTCGGATTTTGTAAATAAAACACACAAATTTGAATTTTATTCCAAATTTATTTTATCTCCTTCAAAATAAGCTCCTTCTGAAGCGATACACATATGCCAACGCTTAACCCAATCTTCCATATACTTTTCGTAGGCCCGTGAAGGTATGGCTTTGAGTTCTTTTAGCAAATTCTCTTTTACCGATTCAATCGACTCAAAACGCTTACCATGAAGGAGCAATTTGAGTTTCGGGAACAGGAAAAAGTCGCACGGATTCAGCTCTGGCGAATATGGTGCCTGAGCGATGACAGTGGTGCCGTGTTTGAAGGGGTGTACCAACATAACAAAAAAAAATTTTTTGTAATAGACCTTTTTTTTGTAAAAAAAGGTCTATTACTTAAGGAGTAGTTAACAAACAACAAAATCCTAATACTTTTTGAGCAGACGGTATGTGTTGTGTCTAACAGATATGTAGGGTTGCAAACTATAGTTCTATAAGTTTAACTGAATAACTCATTATCAGAATTCAACGGAACTGTGGTAACAATGAGTCACACAAATGGTCACAGACACTACAAAGGTAAATATATACTAATCAGGAGAAACTAATATATTGTACAACATTGTTGTAATTCATAAAAAAATACTTAACTTTGTAAAGACTTCAATAAAAAAATATTACACAAAATAAGTATGACAATTTATAAATATTTCTCGTATTAGTTGACAAATTTGCCATATTGTAGTAATATATACTTATATTATAAAAAATTATTTATAGGCATATAATACTATTACAATAAACCAGATACAACTCAAATACTGATATTTAAATTTTTAACACTTAAAATCAGTGGAATAAATTTATATATATAAAAACAAGCTTTAAATTATTAACCAACAAATTTAAACATATAATTTTGTAAACGTATTAACTTATGCATAAAAAATTAATCCAGCGAATTAAGTGCTTAAATATAAGAACATGTGAAACTTATTTTGTAATGAGACATCGAAATATACGCATATGTCACATATACGTCACCAATGCAGTTTGCTTTTTAAAGTTTAAACTCTTGCTAATAGCAACAAGCAACTATCAGAACTAAAATTGCAAAATACATAAATTAAAAAGGTGTCGCAAGGCTTCTAAATGTACTTGAACGCTGTTCTTAGTATATTGCTCGAAAATCTTTAAAATGTAATTATTTTTGATAATATACTCATATATATGGATTTGCATTTTATTAGAAGAACGAAAGACGGCATGTATCCAAGTAGTTTTTAACTCTCATATTTGATTACATTTTGTATTTCGAACAAAGCATTTATTATGTTTTATGTCGTGTGTGGTATTAATGAAGGCCTTCATATTTATACCTACATCTATCTTTTTGTATATTATATTCCAGCATATATATAATAATGTATAATATATGTGTAGTAGATATATACGTATATAAAAATTTATTAATTCAGTTACATTCACCATTATTTTATTTGTGCAAGCTCACCTGTTTCTTAAGTTTCCATTTCGCGTGGTGTTCAAAGTTTTGTTTGGCAGTTTATTGTTACCACTTGTATTACTACCATTACTACCGTTACCGCTATACAGCTGACTAGCACTGGTACGTGGTAGACGTGGTGCATTACCACCTGTGCCGGGTCTTACAGCACCAGTGCTTCCACATTCAACAGCATTGTATTCTACCAACGCGCAGAGTATGCAAACAAGAAAGAGAGCTTTAGTGAAGCGTGATTTTGATAACAGCATTGATGCTGACGAAAATGCCGATGATGAAGATGCTCTCTGCTTGACGCTGCACTTGGTATTGGTAGAGAACCTGTTCTTTTCAATATTTATAGTATAATTGATGGAATAATATTTTGTTTTCATTTGTTGCAAGCTTTTGCGATGTTGTTGCTGTTGTTGTTGATGTGGCATAAGTTGCGTATGCACACGTTGAACTCGGTTGGCCTTTAAGGCCGACATGTTACTTTTACAGATTTTTCCTTTATTTAACAAAAACAAGTTTGATTTTTTACTCAATTTTATTTAGATACTTCAAAATAATTTTTGTATCACAATTTTATTTATGAAAATAAATAAAGAATTAAACATTTATATTAATTTTTTTCTTATTAATTTTACACAACAATGTGATGTTACCGATACACTACACTAAACAAATAAATTAATATATATTGTAAAAAAATTTCCTAAAAAAAATTAAATAAAAATAGAATCATTTAATAACACCTTTTACACACACTTTTGAATTACATCTTATATTTTTAAAAGTTTTATATATATTATAATGCTAATTCTAGCTTTTTTAATTTTTTTTTTTTTGTTTTTTTGTAATAATTTTTACTATTATTATTTTTATATTCCGCACTAAATTAGTAATTATTTCTTTTACTTTTCAAGGACTTATAATAACAAATTTTCACATTCATAATTGAAATTTAATTTCTTTTTATTAATTTATTTCTATACTTTAATTCACTGGAATATTTATAATTAATTGCAACACAGTCACCGTTTTTTATTTAGAGCTGGTTTCGCACAACATTTAATTGATTTTATTTATTCATTTTTTTTTATCATATGTATCTTATGTACACTTAAATTGATTTTCAGCACAGTAACACAGTCTCTATAACTACTCGTTTGTCGGTCGGTCGGTCTGGCTGGCTGTCTGTTTGTCTACCTGTCAGTCTGTCTGTCTATCATAGTAAACTAATTATTGACATTTCTTATACGCAAACATAATTTAAAATTATTAAGAAAATTCAAACTTAATTTTATGCACATTTAAATACATTTGTATCTGGTCACAGTTTTTTGATTTGTTTATATTCATTAAAATTTCATATCAATTACAAAATTTGCTTTTTGTGTAAACATTTAATATTTACATAAATTAGTAAATTGAACTGACTTTACCTAAAAGCGTTGAACACAATATAGGACAAAGATAGGTTAATTGTTTTTTTATTATATGAATTGACTGTTGGAATAGCTTAAAAGCAAAATTTTAAAAGCAAAGATACAGCCAAACAGCTTCCAAAAATGACATGCGTATATTTTTTTGTTTTTGTTTTTCATTTATTTAAAATTGTTTTAAAGTCAATATATAAAAACATCATTAAAAAAAGCTGGATAAATTTTAAAAATATAGTTTTAATTATTATACTCTTTTTATTTGGAATTTAATTAAATCTCAAAGAAAGATATAGAAAATTAACTGGATTAAGTTGCTTGGCTAGAAATTTGTATTTTTTTTATTTCTATTTGTTTTGTGTTAAGTAGTGTTTAATTTGCATTAGTAATTAAACAAATTAATCGGAAAAGAAGTTTAAAGTTGTTATTGTTATTCTATTCTATAATATAAAATGGCTACATTATTTTGTTTCGCAAAATAAATAACTAAAAATTTTTAAATACTTTAATTTTTAAAAGAACATTTTAATCATATGAATTTAAATTAACAACTTAAGAATTGTTTTGAATTCGCACAATAGAATTGCACGTTTCGTTTATATTAGATATTCTCTAAACATTCATCATTTAAAATAAATTCATTTTTAATTCAGTTTAAATATATTATATTCAAATTTGGTTTTTAATATCGGTTGATTATTGTGCTTTTATTTAAATTGTAAATTTTTATTATATTTGTTTTTATTATCATATAGGTAAATATACTTTTACTTTAATGAGCCAGCAGCAAATGATAAGAAAAATATATGTGAATTAAAAAACTTTCAATTAGTGGTACATAATTTTTTTATATCGAAAATATTGAAATGTATAGACCAGTTTTAAAAGATATAAAACAAGCGATTGAAAATAAAAAATAAAAACAGTTAATAAAAAATTAATACAGTTCTCAACTAAAATAAAGAAAGCTCCTAACTTCGTTTACTGAAGCAATTAAATCAGATATTGAATATATGAATATTACTAAGTGACACTGTTTTTAGAAATTTAATTATATTACAAATTCATATTCATATTAATTGGCAAAATTTCAATTTTCAATAACTCACTTGCAATGAATAGTTCACTATTTTGAACTATCCACTCAAGTAAATTTTGCACATATATACAAATTCCAATAATGCAGAAGACAACATCGTTGTTGTTGCAATTTCGTTTTTTGATTGTTTTGTTGTACGCGCTACACAATTTGCGTTCAATTGACCATATTATGTAGTAAAATAAAAGATAAAATATTTAAAAACAAAATTACCATAAAATAATTTCAAGATCTTTCTCTAAAAGAACTATATTTTTTACAATTTTTGTTTTACATTTTAAAATAATTTTACTCTCGCATAAAAGAAAAAAAGTTTTTTTAAAGCTTTAATGCTAAAGAAAAGAAAAGTATTTTCCTTTAAAAAAATAGGAACAAAATTTTCTATATAACCGTTTCTGACCTACAATTATGGTCTTATAATTGTTGTTTTAGCTTCTTTATATTGGTGGGTTGATTTGTAAAAGTTGTAAACTCATACAATGTAAGAGAACATTTTCATTTTTTGAAAAATTAACTTTTGTTAAGAATGAAAAGTAAATATTTCAAGTATGAACATTATTTACAATAAAATATACTAATTTCGCTGGAAAATAGTAAATGTATTTTGAAATGATTTAATAAATATTTTCTTCAATCGTAAAGTGAAACATTTTTTTAAAACCTTTGTAAATACTTCATCTATAAATGTGATAAATAAATAAAATTGTTATGATACAATAAATTATATGATCCATTATTCATTTCCTTAAAATGAAATTTACTGCCAACAAAAGTTTGATTTTAAATCATTTTTGTTTTTTATATGAAAACATTTACAGAGAAAAATATTCGTTAATGAAGTGGAAATGGTGACACCTTAATTTTTTTTTATCTGCTATAATAACATATCAATGAAAATAAAAGTCACAATTTATAATCTTTTGTAAATTAAAATTTTGATTACAAAACTGAAAATAATAAAAACACAAAACGCTTGCTAAGCTCCGTAATTTTTACATACTATATACTTTCTTGAATTAGTTGTACTTGGCAATTTCAAAGAATTTTAAATACTTTTAAAAATTTATTTGTTTTTTAACGACAACTATAAATCTATCTCATCATTCCTTTGAAACTAGTATTATTATTATTTTTAAAAAGCGAAACGACAAAACAATTTAAATAAAAAAATGCATATTGCTCATACGCCCCCATAGAATAAATGCAGCTCATTTGTACTAATATATAATAACAAATATTTTTAAGTTAGCCAATTTATTCTGCCAATAAAAAGAATGCTATTAAAGTGACCATATAAGTTCGGCGGTTAAATCTTTTGTTGTTAATAGGTTTGTATGTATCCTGTTTAATTGTATTTTTTGCTGAATTTTTGTGCAACTTTTCAACAAACCGAAACCAGTTCTGTTATAGATTTTCTGAATAATTTTCTTTTATTTGTTTTAATTTGATTTCCTTTGCATATATGTTACAAGCTATATTATTCATGTTAAATATTGATCATAATCCACTTTGCACAAATACAGGTTTTCACTTTTTTTTACAAATGGAACACATTAAAATTTTACAAATGCAATTTTATTTTCTTGAAAAATATAATTTGATTTCATTTTTCATTTTATATCACAAAAATCATACAATATGGCACAATTTTAATTTTTTTACGCTTATTTTTATATTAGACGATGCATTCAAGCATATATATGTATATATATTTATATATTTATACATTAATAGATATGTATATAATGATTATCGATGATTATTTAATTTTATCTTTCATATTCTTTTTTAAATTTAACAAATATCAGCACAAATATAAGACTAGAATTTATTTTAAAATCTGACTACAAAGACCGATCTAACCTCGATGCGTTATTAGGCAACGTTTGATCGATTAACGTTAATATTAACGAAATACAGAGACGCACTTTATTCCGAACAAAACAACCGTACAATTTAATGTCCGATACTATTCTGTTAATAGCAGTAGCTATAACAATCGCGGTTGGCTTAAGTGGTTTCTTACTCTTTTTACCTAAAAATGCAGTGGTGAATATAATTTTGGCTTTTGTTTGTTTACGTTTATGCAAAAGAAACTTTGTTTTGTTAATTTAACATAAAATCGTTAAAAATCTTTGAAATAGCAAAAATTATTCACCACAGTTACGAACTGTTAACTCGGTTGTTTCTTCTTATTTTTTTTTTTAATTTATTTTCTTGCAACTGTTAGTTAAATGGTTTCCACAAGATGGTTTATACCACTCGTCTTAGCTTTGAACGAAGTTAAACTGAAAACGAAACGTTGCAAAAACAGTGGAACTTGTTTTCTTACTTCACAAATCAAAGAAATCGAGAGTCTCGTATTTCACGTGTAGATTAGCTTAGTACATTTGGACCAGTTTTAAGTCAAGAGCGTAAATTACCGGACGACGATTGTTTGTGTAAACATTAATATACGAACATACATATATTTTTATTTATAAAATTAAATACTTATTTTTGAATGAAAAACCCGCTTATTTTGCAGTTATAACAGATGTATATATGTACATGTATGTACAGATATAAAAAGTATATATGCTAAATATGTACAGATAAAATTATTGTTTATAAATTAAGATAATAAAAAATTTTTCTACAGTGTTCTAAGTTTTATTTTTATGTTTTATAATTATTTTAGCAGTTTAAAAATTGCATATACATATATTGAAGTAGTCAAATTATTCTTAAAAGTGTTTCCCTTAATCTACAATGAAATATGGATGGAGCCTCTGCAAGGTATTTTTTCCCCTACTCTGATTTTTGAAAAATAATACTTAGCAACATTACCTTTAGTCGAACTAATATTATCGCACCTTATAGGTTCTAGAATAAGAAACCATGTAATTTTAAAGGGTGACCCCACATTCAATCCTTTTAGAATTTCATAAGGAGGTACTATACATCACTAATTTTTAATATTTTTATTGTTTTTACTATAATAAATAAACATATTTTTTTATAAAG